CAATAAGCAAGTGAACAGACATTCTTGTGTGGTTCCAGAAATGCAGCCACATGCCTGCAGTGGCCCAGGTCAGAAGCTGGGAAGTGCTAGAGCTCACTCACTGCTCAGCTGGAGCAGGCAGATTGGGCCACAGCTAGCCTACACATCCTGTGAGGGGGATTTGCAGGGGAGGTGCAAAGTATCCTGGGATGCTGGGGAACTGATTTAACTTGAATCTGGAGGGGATCTGGGATAGAAGTTCAATAAATTGATTTAAGCTAACATACATAAGTCTGATACTACATCCATCTAGGTTTATCTTAAACCAGTTTTGGCCAGTTTGAAAGCGCTTATGTGCACTGAACTTCTGTTTTGTTACAGATTTGAACTGATTTATGATCACTTATACCAGTTTGTGTAATTTCTGTCCCTAGCCTGTGAGTGGAAGCTTTATTTGGTAAGCCATTTTCCAGCTGTGGTGGAAAGGAACCAGTCTACTGGAGGAGAGACATTCAGGCTAGCTGAAACAACTAAAAAGCCAGCTGATAATGGCAGAGGATGGTGCTTCTTCAGCCTGAAGAGAGAAAAACTGAGAGTTGTCTCCAGATTAGGTTCATTTGGCACAAGGAAGTAAGGAACAGATTACACATCATTACTACATAAACTAATCTATAATTTGGCGATACGTTTTTCTGGTCTTTTAATATGTAGTATAGCTCCCTTTCTACTTCAGTGGAGCACAGGGGGAGAGGTTGGAAAGAAGAAAGCTGTATTAGCAGAATTAACACTTAATAGTATTTCATTTAAAAATAATAGAAATCATCAATCACAGGATCTCTTCAAACTCTTCCAGTCAGAAACCAGTACTAAAATAACCTAAATTTCAACTGTAAACTGAAAGAAAGAAGTAAATAATGGCAGACATTCATAAATTGAATAACAAAAATTATGATGCTGCCTTGCACAGCTATAGTACTGGCTATCATACTGTCACAACAATATTGTATGTGTCCCAGGGGAGCGGGGATGCCGGGAGACCCCCATGGCGGCAAAGGGTCCCGCTTACCTCCCGCAGGGCCAGAGGAGCCAAAAGGAGTCCACGCGCCAGTGCGGGCTGTCAGCCGGGCATTTATCCGGCTGCAGCTGAGCGGCGGGGGCAGGGCTCCCCGGCCGGGAGAGACAAAAGGCAGCCCTGCCGAAACAATGGGGCGGCTGAGAGGAGAGAGCTGGAGCGCGGAGCCCCAGCAGGCGGGGAAGCAGCCGCCACCCGCCCAGGGCGGGACGGAGGAGGAAACTAATGAGGACGGCTGCGAGCAGTGCGGCAGCGCAGCTGGGAGCAGCACGTGGAGGGA